AGGGTTATATGGCATGCATATATTTATAGTGAGGATGGCCCATTGGGATGTTTTAGTTAATGTTTCATCCAAGCGCTCATCCCATTTCACTTTGGATTTCCACAATTCTTGCAAAAATTGTTTCGCTCGAATAACTATTGCTAAGAATCCGGTTGGGTCGAAAATCCGTGCTACCGCGCTCGATATAGTTCGCTTTGTGATCGCCCTTTCGTTTGACCAAATTGACTCGATTGAAAATTTGAAACAGTCTTTGGATGGATCCCATTTTAAACCCAAAATTGATGTCGATTCCTCTTTCAACTCTAGCGCTTGATCTTGATTCACTATTTTCTCGCCCAATTTGTGTAGTACATCAGGGCAATTTGTTTTCCATTTGCCAAATTCAAATTTAGCTTTTCCAAGCATTGCACGTAATTCATGATATAATTTTATTATATGCTCGATTGTATCACCAAGTAGTCGTCCATGTAACGTTCATCGATCATAAACTTCACAAACATTGTATTTGCCCAATTGGCCATCGAAAAGTTGAGAAAATTCACTTTTAATCTGATCAGTCATAACGGAAAAACTATTATTGTCGATTGAATCAATCGAATGAACAAGATTCTCAAGAATTTCATCCATTTGCATTAACAAAAATTTAAATGCGCGTAGAAAATTTCTACCTAATAACGGTGGTGCGTTCGCGTCGGTCACAACAACTGAAATACACTTATTGATGCCACGATAAGTAATACTTGCTAAACACTCACCAATTAAATTGATTTTCCTTCCACAATAATTTTTGTATGGAGTATCACATCGAACCAACGGATACTGTGATAAATGCTTCTCGTAGAAAATCTTCGGAACAAATGTACGCGGTGCCCCCGTGTCACATGCAATATCCATCTTTGTGTATCCAAACACGACATTCAACCGATACAGCTCATTGGATTCGTCATCGGTCAAACTGTATAAAGAAAAATCAAACGAATAACCAACAGAGATCGAATTTACATCTGGAATGGAATTTAAATTTGAATCAATAAAATTGAAATTTTTCTTGCTATTCTCTTTGGAGCGGCAAACGCTGCTTAAATGGCCCTTCTTTGAACAGGTATGGCAAGTAGCATCTTTGTATGGACAGGAGCTGGCCTTGTAGTAATAAGAATACGTTATAAATCCAATAAATGTAAAGTTGACTGCGCGCTCACCTGCATACGGCGCACGTATGCAGAAGTGCGCACGCATGAACTAAAGAAATGGTCATGCACACCCGCATACGGCATGAACGTACGAGGCGCGTGCTAACCGACCGAATAATGTCATTAATTTGAATTGAATAAAATTAGTCTTAATCAAACCAATAAACCGATAACACTTACTCATTTCCTTAAATTGGCGCTGCGGCAGTCTTCTGAACTGGCTTCCTACCGATACTCAAAGACATCGGCAAAATCAACAAATAATTAAAAATACAGTACGCCCTCGTAAATTAGAATCGAAATGTCCCGAGGGCAATTCTAATTCACGAGGAATTCTAATTTCGGAGGTTTTTTCATTTTCATCAAAAATCCAATAGCAAAACCAAAATTGATAAGGGAAATTGATTGTTTAATCAAAAACATCATAATTCTAATCATATTCGTGCGATACATGCTTATTACAAGTATTTTAATGATGATAAATAGTTTGTTTACAAACGTAGAAGAAAAAAAATGAGTCAAAACAAAACTTATTACTTATGACTGTTTGTGTTTATATAAGGAATATTAATTTTTGATTTTATTTGAAATAATCCGTTAGTTGCTTTTGCTTTGTTGCTTTCGTTGTGTGTGCTGTTACAATATCGGAACGAAGGGATAACAGACTGAATGTATGTTTGATACCAACACTTTCGTTTTGGGCACACCATTCGATTAATTTGTTGACATGATCGATCGCGTCAGAATGTGGAATTTTCACTACAGCCGCTGCTTCTCCTTCTGAGTCAGAACTGTCGACGTCATCCAATTCAACGTTTTCTGTTGTGTCATTATTCCATTCTTCGATTTCATTCGTTGCTATTTCACTGTCCGGTGCAATTGAATTCAAAAGTGTTTGAACTTCACCCAAAACGTTTTCGTAATCAACAGTTGGTGCTCTTAATGATGACAATGAAACTAAATCCTCTTCTGTGTAATCATCTTTATCCCAGTTGTTTATCTTTGACCATGAATTTTGCAGAAGAGTGTTCGAGAAATTCGCCCAAACATCTTTCATCATTACGATTGCATCACGAATGTTATGTTCTTTCAAAGCCTGAATAATATTTGTGTTTTCATTTGCAACAACAGACGACAAAAGTAGTTTGCGATAATTCATTTTAAACACGTTTATTGGACTCTGATCCATTGGTTGTAGCACAGACGTAACGTTTGGTGGCAGAGCAATCGTAATTATATTTCCATCGTCAGTTTGCAATTCTTCATGGGCCGGACAGTTATCAATGAGCAAAATTGCTTTCGGCGGCAAATTGTTTTCTCTTGCAAATTCGCGAACCTTTTAATCAAAACAAAATGGAATAAGACAGCATTCACATATGTATACAATTCAATGTATACAAATTAATACAAACCTCCTTAACAAAATGATTGAAAAACCATGCACGAAAAATGTCTCGCGTCATCCAAGCTGATTTTGAATTCGCATACGGCAATGGATTGATGAATCCCTTGAAGCATCGCGGATTTTTCGATTTTCCAATTATGAGCGGTTTCACTTTGTGGGATCCACCTGAATTCGCAGTTAGCATGAATGTCAAACGTTCTTTTGCAGTTTTTCGACCAGGTGCGCTTGTTTCTGATGCACAGACGTATGTTCGTTTTGGCAACATTCGATAATAAATGCCAGATTCATCTGCATTATACAGTTGATCTTCGGTGATATTCATTTCAAGTATCTTTGCATGAAGACGATGGATAAATGGTGTGATAGAAGTCAAGTCCGCCGACAGTTTCTCACCAGCTACGGTCAAAAATCGAATTCCGTGCCTCTTCTTGAAGCCTTCAAACCAACCGTTACTTGCAACAAATGCTGAATCGTCCTTATCAGGATACATTTCCTCGAAAATAGCTTTGGCTTTCACTTTGATAATGTGTGCAGAGATTGGACAGTGTTTGGAACGTTGAAACTCAAACCATTTGTATAATTTTTCTTCCATTTCCACATGATCTGGCTTGTGCAATGACTTCTTTTTAATTTCGTGAACAGTACTCGACACAGCTTCTAATATTTGCGACTTTTGCCCTTTAATATAACTTATTGCAGATTCACTGACACCATAGTCTTCAGCAATCCGTTTTGCCATCACACCGTTTCCCAATTTTTCAATAATTTCAGCCTTTTGTGATAAGGACAGTGTCACTTTCTTTCGTTTTCGATCAGACATGATGACAAATAAAATAAAATGAAATTAAAAATCGATTGACGAGCTGTTATTATTGTCTTGTTGATGGCTGACAAGAGACTAAATCATAACGCACATAATTTGCGCATTTGCATTCTCGGATTGAACAAGTCCAAACCGATCTGTTCATCGATTATATTTTTGCATGTAATCTGTTTGTGACTTACTACGATTTTTTGATGACTATCGCAGAAATGCACTTATCTGTTTATTTATGTTCAACGAACTGAATATTGAGCAGCTGTTCTTATTGACCGAGTAACAGTAAAAAGAATAGTATACATACAAATAAGTGTACATAATTGGTGTACACAAATCACAAATCTTATGGCGAATCAAATATTAGACCACTTGTTTTTATCAATTCTGCTTGACCGCTAATAGAATGCAAACTGTATTTTTATCAAGAATTGTCATTATTCTTTATATTTTTATACGATATTCGGTTTATGTTCCATGTAAATTCAAGCAAAAATGAGAAACCTCGCAAATTAGAATTGAACCTCTTAAATTAGAATTTTTCCATACAAATGTTCTAACCCGAAATTCACTTCTAATTTCGGAGGAATTCTAATTCTCCGAGTTCTAATTTACGAGGGCGTACTGTATATTAATTAATTAATTATTATTATTATTGAATTCAACTTAAATCTAGTTTAACATTTCAGTTCGTTGGCATAAATGAACCCGTGAGCATAAAAAGAACGTATTGACTCTTCGCCGATGAATACGAAACGCAAAAAAATCGCCGAACAAAGTGAAACACCAATCTGTTATTGGATCAATATGAAACATGAAATCGTTGGCCACTATTTTATTTACGTTGCGCTTTGTTTCGAAGCGCGGCAAGTGTTTCATTTCGTTCCAGTAACAGAACGTTGTATCACTTTGTTCGGCGACGCGCTCAATGTACTGTTTTGAAAAAATATGCGTGATTTGATACAGTTTTGTGCGAGTGCAACATAAATTCTGTTCGCTTGAAAGTGAATCGTGAAATATCGGCTGACTATAGAAATTGTGTTTCACTTTAATTGAAACAAAAATGTTTGGCTAGCGGTCATAAGTCCACAAAATTGTCCATCCATCCATTCATCCATTGATTTATCCATCCATTCAACATATGAATGGATGGATGGAGAATGTGTATAGAGCGGGTGTGGAAAAATAAAACTCAATAATTTTTATACTTGGAAAAATGATAAAAAACCAAGTCTTTATTATGCGTCCGATCTGATCCAATTCTTTCTTACAACTAACTTATATTATGCAAATCAGCTGACAGCCCGTAACGTAACTGACAGTTGTACTTAACTTACTTTATCTCGAATGGCAGCGCCATTCGATACACTCCTCTCCAAAAACAACTGTTTTTAATTACTCTCTCAAATCTAATCCCTATCCAAAATTAAACTCTGATCCTTATACCTACTCCGATGATTCGACCGGTAGAACACAGCTTCTGGACTGGCCGCTTGAGTCTGTTGGTCGCCGTTTGAACAATCGCATTTCGCTTGACCAGCTGTCTATCCTAAAATTTTCGATACTTTTTATGTCTTTCCAAAATTCTATCCTTCTATCCATAAATTTTTTAGCCAATTCCTCCTCCTATGACACATTTTCTTTCCAAAGGTCCGGATCTGGCCACATGACTCGCAATGGTTCTTTTCGTTATCTTTCCAATCCCATTTGAGTTTTTCACCGCAAATATGAATCTATCCCTGTCGATCAACCACTCTAAAGTAAAAATGGTTGATCCCTCTTCCTCCTTGAAAAGCATAGCTTATCACTTCTTTCCGACTTTATCTTGTTCCTGACCTTCTTGTTGTTTCAGAAAATAATTTTTCTCCTCCGTCGCAGCTTGCATTACGCATCGTACTGTTAAATGCGCTGACTACGTCATCCCAAAAATGACTACCTTCCACCAATACTCCTGTAATGGTTCAACAGTAGTCTCTCTCCAAAATATCCGTTGCAAATTGCATTGCTCTCTATCCAATTTCACCTCTTTGAAATCTTTTTGATGCCAGAGTACACGGTCTATAATCTTTCCAAAGGTTTATCCAGGTGAATCTCACTCTTGCTTCGGATCATTGCATTTGACTGTTCAATTCCCATCTGCTCTATCTCATCCAAATTATTTTCTGAATCTATTCCAAATATGACAACTTCAAACTTTGTTTTCATCAGAGCAGTTCCATCCAATGTCAATGACCGACACAATGATCTTCACAAACAAACCGACTCCGTTTTTCATTCTGTCCATCTGTTCCGTTATTAATTTATCTTCTTGTTCCAACAATTATATTTTGTTTCTGACTAATTCCAATTTGTCTTCGAATAGCGATTCGTTTTCATTGACTCTTTCCAATGCGTATTCGTTTCTGACTCAAAGTCAAACCTTTCC